TGGCGGCTGTTTGTTGTTGGTGTGGCGGCTGTTTGTTGTTGGTGTGGCGGCTGTTTGTTGTTGGTGTGGCGGCTGTTTGTTGTTGGTGTGGCGGCTGTTTGTTGTTGGTGTGGCAGCTGTTTGTTGGTGTGGCGGCTGTTTGTTGTTGGTGTGGCTGCTGTTTGTTGTTGGTGTGGCGGCTGTTTGTTGTTGGTGTGGCGGCTGTTTGTTGTTGGTGTGGCGGCTGCTGCTGTTGTTGTAGCTGCTGCTGTTTGTTTTTGGTGTGGCTGGCTGTTGTTGGTGTGGCTGTTGATGGTGTGGCTGTTGATGGTGTGGCTGTTGTTGTTGGTGTGGCTGTTGTTGTTGGTGTGGCTGTTGTTGTTGGTGTGGCTGTTGTTGTTGGTGTGGCTGTTGTTGTTGCTATCATCCACAATAGAAATATAGGATAACTAGTTTTATTCTCTTAAATCATTTCATTAATATCCACTGTGAAAAAATCTCTTCAGCTTTATTTATTTTCTTCTAAGATCATCTGCCACCTGTTGGTGCCCTTGGAAGGTGTAAAAAAATCTCCCCCCCCCCTCGTATCAGTTAGTCTTGGGTACCTTTAGTGTTTTCACTGCTTGTTCTCTTTTTCTAACTCTGGTTATCATTTACCAGCTCTTCCTTGGACATTTTCTAACTGTTCTTTGAATTGTGTGGACACCAAAGAAAAAAAACTTGCATATTCTAATTTTGGCTTAATGTATATTTTTAAGCATTTTTTATTTTTTTCATTTGTAAGTTTTAGATTTTGGTTTATATGAACTTAAAATATTTTTTTTTATTAATTATCTACCTTACATTTGTTCTCTCAGATTGTATCAGTTACTTGTTTCATATTCCGCTTTCTGTTTCCTTAACATGATATTCATATACAATAAATTCAAATGTCTATTTTGTCACTATTCCCTCAATTTATTATTCATTAAGTAAAGATTTGTAGTCGTTATAGTATTTATTTTGCCTTAGACTTTTGCAACTACAGGAATGTGTAGTTTTCAATTTTCCTTCTGGTAAGTCATGTGAATTAAAAACTATGTGGGAGGAAGTATAGAGCCTTGTGGCACCCCCTCTGGTAGCACCCCCCTCTGGTGGCACCCCCTCAAGTGGCACGCACACTGGTGGTGCGCACACTGGTGGCACACACTGGTGGCACCCCCTCTGGTGGCACCCACGCTGGTGACAACCCATCTAGTGGCACCCACACTGGTGGCACCACTGATGGCACCTTCCCACGAGGATATTTATCTTGCAATTCTTCTTTCCTCTTAAGCAAAATCTCTTATTCATGGCAATAATTCGTTGTTTATCCTCTTACATTTTGCAGTTATCACACAAGTCTTTCAAGGGGAGACTCCCTAAAATGCTCTTAAGAGGCACCTAAGGTCCCCCGTATTCTAATAACATGTTCATTTTTCCACTATAATCTTCTTTATACATAATTACTGTAACATTTGTTTCGTCTGGTTCGTAAGGTTAAGTCCAGGATCTTTCCTTAATTCATGGTATAACTTAACAAATCTTTGAGGACAGTTGTGTTGCAGAGGTTTGGTTTTTGCTGAGACCTCTGCAACACAATTGTAATTATGAACAAGGAAGATTGTAGTGGAAAAATGAACATGTTATTAGAAGACAGTGGTACTTGTGTGCCCCTTAAACTCTCTAAATATAATTTTCCCAGTCCTTTCTTTAAAAATTTTCAGTAATTATTAAATAATTTTTATGTACATGATTATTTTTTATTGAAAACCGAATATTTTTTTTTTATCAGTTATTAGGTTATATTTTTGATGATTTAAAAGTCACTTTTCTTCACCTTTTTCTTAGGATCCATTAGAAATTTCTTTACATTTTTTTCTCCAGTTATTTCGGCATCGTAGATTTAAGGTTCGTGTCTGTCATTAAAACTTGCTAAATGTTCCTTTGTAAACGAGAACTTAAACTTTCCATTAAATGCCTCGCACTTTTCCTCTATTTATCTGTTTTAACGGCAATCTCTTTCTTATTTGTTTTGTTTTTACCATTTCCTCTACGTTTTTACGTTTTTTTAGTGAGATTTTGTTCTACTTTTCTCTCGTCTGCCATTTCCTTTTCAGTGTTTTTTCTACCCTCTCTCCTCGTATTTACATATTTATTTCTGTCCTGCTTGAATTTTTTCCCTTGTTAATCTCTTTCTAAATTCTTTTCCCAAAGTTTTATTTTTACGTAACTCTCCAGCACCTTCCATTAAAACCATTAATATATCATCTTATTCTTCCAGAATAAATTGCTTAATTCTATTTTCATATATATTAAAAAAACATTTTCATTTTAATATACGTGTATTATATATAATATATATATATATATATATATATATAAAATATATATAATATATATATATAATTATATATAAAAATATATATATATATATATAATGTTCGAGCTTAATATTATCATTGATATATTCTAGTTAATTCTCTTTAAGAATTTTTGACTAATAGTAACTGTGTGATTCACTCTCTCTCGTTCTTTCTCTCTTGTTCTCTTTCTCTCCTTTTTTTTTTCTCTCTCTCTCGCTCGCCCCCGCGCGCACACACAGGAATAAATAAAGGGGATGTAAATAGCGTGCTGAAAATTTCCAGCCAAGACAGGACTCACAGCATTGGTTTCAAGATGGAAAAATTCAGACTCAGGAAGGATATAGGAAAGCACTGGTCTGGTAATAGAGTTGTGGATGAGTGGAACACACTCCCGAGTACAGTTATTCAGGCTAAAACGTTGTGTAGTTTTAAAAATAGGTTAGATAAATACACGAATGGGTGTGGGTGGGTGTGAGTTGGACCTGCCTAGCTTGTGCTACTGAGTCTGGTGCCGTGCTCCTTCCTTGAGTGGAGGTGACCAGACTGGGTGGGTCATTAGGCTAATCCCGGGGACCTGCTCCGCATGGGTCAGTAGGCCTGTTGCAGTGTTCTTTCTTATGTTCATCATGTTAAGGAATTTCGTTGACACTTTATTGACAGTGTCAGCCACTTCAAGCTGCCATTTTATTTTTTATTTAAAATCTCCAACTGAAGTAACTTTTCCTCCTTCACCCTCACTTTTCCTCCTTCACCCCCACTTTTCCTCCTTCACCCCACTTTTCCTCCTTCACCCTCACTTTTCGTCCTTCACCCTCACTTTTCGTCCTTCACCCTCACTTTTCGTAATAAAGTACAGAATAAAGTGGATGCACATTTAGGTAATGTCTTCAAAAGTCCTTTTCTGATTTCCAAAAATTTATTATAATAATTTTAAAAGCAATGTGAAAATGTATTTAGCGTAATTATCACAAGATGAATATCCCTGGTAGACTGACTCTGCTTCCTTCCATCATACTGCCATACCCTCCCATGATACCCCCGTCCCATGCTACCCTCTCATGCTATCCCCCCACCTCTCATTCCTCAGACATAAAACTTCCCCTCCCACGCTCCCTCAGACATAAAACTTCCCCTCCCACGCTCACTCAGACATAAAACTACACCTCCCACGCTCCCTCAGACATAAAACTTCCCCTCCCACGCTCCCTCAGACATAAAACTCACCTTCTCACACACTCCCACGTACCCCTTCCACACTCCCCAGACATAACACATTTAGGGGTTGACATTAAAACAGTGAGAGTTTAAACATCAGGGATACACTGGTCTACACCCGGGGTTTAAACACGAGTTTTCATTACATCTGGTCAAGTGCCGCTTTTCTCAGTCTTGCGAGATGTTTTATCGAAATTAATTAATTAATTAATCCATGTTAAGCGCTAAACCCAAGTGAGTCATTCAGTGCAAGACGTGTTGGAGGCTCGATCCTCCGTCTGGTGAGCGCCAGACAGACGCGCTTCCTATTTGTACTCGCCTAGATGTTCTGATTTATCGAAAGCTTTAATAAAATGCAAATAAATAAGGTGATATTCTTTATCGTGGTCCGCTGCCTCCAGCTCACCAGGTCACCAGAGGTGCGCTTGTCGAGGTACCGTAGATGAAACAATAGTAAAGCTGTGTATAAAGTCTTATGATGGTGATGAACCGCATATTTGTGCCACATTTGGGTATCTTTGTTGTGGAAACGTTTCGCCAACGCTTTTTCAGTCCAATACGGTGAAGAATGGTTGATCAGGAGAAGTTTGAGGTAATCAGTCCTTCAGCCTGGAGTCGGTGTGTTCAGACCATCAGTCTTGAAAAGTTCAGCATATACGAGGAGCTTATATACCGCGACTCCAGACTGAGGGACTGATTACCTCAAACTCCCCCTGATCTTCAACCATTCTTCTTTGTACTGGACCGAGGAAGCGACTGGTTGGCGATATGTTTCCACAAAAAAAAAAATACTAAGTGTTGCACAAGTGTGTAATTCATAACCCTGTCTGTATTCTGTACCAGTTATGCACATTGTTATACTAGTGCAACTCTCACATACAGAGCTGCATTATAACTGCTTTCATTGGCTTGTAAACCAATTTCGAAACAGGAAAATTACTTCACGGATTTGCTCGTTTACAAGGTAATTGAACACATACTCCCATGCACTGATTGTGTTGCTTTCCGAGACCTTGTCTTTATGCTGCAGTTTCATCACTTACAGTATAAATACATTTATAATTTAGGTTTCAGTTTTCGTGAACTACTGCGTGCGTATTTACGTGCGTGACCTTGCGTACTTGTGCTGAGGTGTACCCGAGTCAGGTACAATATTCTGTACAGTCAGTAAAAGTGAATAGTGGTCATTGCTCGCTTTTCTAGTGTACGCATCCTAGTGTTCCATCATGCTAATGTTCCATCATGCTAATGTTCCATCATGCTAATGTTCCATCATGCTAATGTTCCACAGCTTGGGCCACCGGACTTCTAATAAGGAACGATCGTTAACAGTATTTGTGTCCATTCTTCGGTTTATATATATATATATATATATATATATATATATATATATATATATATATATATATAATATTATAAATAAACCGGGTATCAAGCCTCAGTGGTGTCACTGGCGACAAATGATGCGTTTCACAATGTATTTAGTATCTCTACTAGACGTTTATCAAGGATTTAATAAAGTCTCATTGTGGGAAAACGTCTTAAAATAAATTTTTCACCTGTTTAAAATATTTTAGCTTCTCCACTTTCGGGTTCACCTCGTCAGCGTCTAGCAACTGTCTGGTATAAAACACGGTGTTGTCAGCCCTCGGTATGAGTGTTCAGGTATTGCTGTGTTGCAGGTATGTGTTACCAGTTTACCTGTTGTCAGCCACCAGTAACGAGTGTTTTTGTGTTGCAGGTTGTGAAGCGTGATGGCGCTGCTTCACCGCTTCGTCAAGCTGAACGACCGGGGTAACACTCATGTGTTCTCCTTCGTGGTGACCAGGAGTGTCACCAGGGACCTGCACCGTGACGTTACCAGCAAGGAGCTCACCTATGGCTACCAGCGCTGGGCTATCACCTTCTCTCGCTCTGAGAAGGTGTTAGGAGTCTATCTGGTGTGGCGTAACCCGTGTGAGGGCATGAGAGTCTACATAGACTTCACCTTCACCCTCCTCAACCGGGAACACTTCAGTGTCAATGAAGCATTCACTGGGAAGCAGGTTAAGTTTACCTTTGACTCGCCTGCACAAGGCAACCGTCGCCTCATAAACATGGAAGACCTTTACTCCCGCAACTTTACTGATGAGAATGGAGAGTTTCAGCTGGAGCTGACGGTGGCAAACATCAGGACGGTGTTCGAAGCTGAGCTTCGCGTCCCCCCGCCAATCAACGGCGGTGTCTCCAGCAGGAAAGATAAGAAGTACGAGTCTCCCTACTTCCACTTCGGTCATTACGACTGGCACGTCTCCGTCACGTCCTCCTCGGGAATGGAAGGTAGGCCTACGGTGCAGCTGCGGCGGCTGACCGGCTTCGACCACCAGTGTCGGGTTCGGTATCTAATGGTCATCGGGGAAGGCGAACGACGCGCCGACTCCGGCATATTGGACCAACTAAGCGACCATGACGGTCGGACGCCCGGCTGGACGCCGGCACGAACACGGCTTCACGACCTGGTGCACAAGAGTGTGCTGAGGCTGTACCTGGAGATGATCCTCGCCAACACCACCAGCGAGGTGCGGCTGCAGCCCCTACCCCACAACACCCCAACCTCCGTCCTCTGCTATGACAGGGACAAGCAAGCGTGGGCCCTCGAGCCTGACCTCCACTCAGACATGCTCAGACTCAAGCTGGTCTTCAATGATGTACACAACGTGCCCAGGAACCACCTCAGGTAAGCTCGGCAACTGAAAGTGGGAAGGTGAGAGAGGGATGGGACGGCGGAAGAAAAATAGCAAATAGTGAATAAAAATCAAGGTTGGGTAGGGAGAGATTGTAGGATTACTGGCAAGCAGAGAGTACAAAAAGATTTTTTCTTTTTCTGCTCAGTGTCGTTCTCACAAAAGACAGAAGAGGAGACAGAATGAGGGAAATCCAGATTTGCTTTATTTTGCCTTTGGACCGCTAAGTGTATAGAAACGAAGTCACCAAAGCGGGAGGGATGGGAAGGAAGGAAGGAGAGGGACACTGATAATATAATCAATTTAAGTCTTAAACCCACAGGGTCATACAGCACGGAAGGGATGTGCAAAGGTAGGAGTGAGAGAGAGGGGAGGTGTGAGGGGGTGAGTGAGGGGAAGCGTTAGGGAAGGGGAGTGAGGGGGTGAGGGAAATCGCTGACCAACAGATGGCTCCCACTTCGCCCTATTCCTTATAAACATGTCTCATAATGCAAAACAACCACGGGGGGAGTTGAATGATAGCTCTAGACATTTCGTGTTGCAAGCAACACATCAAGAGCTTGCAATGTTCCAGAAGAGAGGAGATCCAAGCAAACACGCTCGCAGGAAGTGCGCTCCTTGTGAGCGTGTTTGCTTGGACCTCCTGTTGCAAGCTCCTGATGTGTTGATTGGAACACGAAAAGCCTAGAGCTATCATTCAACTCTACCCGTGGCTGTTTTGCATCTTATATCGCTTGTTCGCGATTTTTTCATAATGTCTCATTAAAAGGCTTTCAAATGAGATGAGGTTAGTAACAGTTCTTAGCTTGTAAAAAAATGAGACGAGGTTGGTAACAGTTCTTAGCTTGTAAATAAAGGTGTGGATGTGAAGCCTTGTAAAACCATTGTGTAAATAAAAAAGGGAAGAGAGAGAGGGAGGCAGGGAAGGAAGAAAGGTAGGGAAGAAGGAAGAGGGAGGGAGGAAAGGGGGGGGAGAGAGAGAAAGAGAAATAAAGAGAGGGAGGGAGTGGGGGGAGGGAGGGAGGGGGAGAGAGGGGAGAGAGAAGAGAGGGAGGGGGAGAAATCAGCATTTTCATATGATCAACTGACTTAATCTCGTTGATATCATAATGCTGTACGAATGTGCGCCACACGAGTCATTTATCCTCAGGATGACTCGAGTCTGGAACACATTCGTACAGCATTACGATATCAACGGGATAAAGTCAGTTGATCAGATGAAAATGCTGGCCCACAGATGGCTCCAACTTCATCCTGTTCCCTACTTGTATGTTTCATAACAATAAAAATGCTTTCAAATGAGCTGATGTAGGTAACAGCTCTTAGCTTGTCAATAAAGTTAGGAATCCTTAACCTGTAAATAACTTATCAATAAAGCTAGGGATCCTTAACCTAACCTTGTCAAACCCTGTGTAAAAATAAGAGAGAAAAGGGGATAGAGAGGAAGGAAGGATGGAAGGAAGGAAGGATGGAAGGAAGGAAGGAAGGAAGGAAGGATGGAAGAGAAAGGATGGAAGGAAGGAAGGATGGAAGGAAGGTGGAGGAAGGATGGAAGGATGAAGAAGGATGGAAGGATGGAGGAAGGATGGAAGGAGGATGGAAGGATGGAAGGAAGGATGGAAGGAAGGATGGAAGGAGAAGGATGGAAGGAAGGATGGAAGGATGGAGGAAGAAGGATGGAAGGGAAGGATGGAAGGAAGGATGGAAGGAAGGATGGAAGGAAGGATGGAAGGATGGAAGGATGGAAGGATGGAAGGAAGGATGGAAGGAAGGATGGAAGGAAGGATGGAAGGAAGGATGGAAGGAAGGATGGAAGGAAGGAAGGAAGGATGGAAGGAAGGAAGGAAGGATGGAAGGAAGGAAGGAAGGATGGAAGGAAGGATGGAAGGAAGGATGGAAGGAAGGAAGGAAGGATGGAAGGAAGGATGGAAGGAAGGAAGGATGGAAGGAAGGATGGAAGGAAGGATGGAAGGATGGAAGGAAGGAAGGAAGGGAGGGAGAGAGAGGGGAGAGGGAAGGGGAGGGGGAGGAAGGGGCGGTCGATAAAGCTGGCAACCCAAGGTTCTAGCCTCTGGGAGTTTTTAATATAGACACTCGTGTGTAGCGTCATGTAACTTGACAACATTAACCTTCCACCTTATTAACACAATCTTCCCCAGACTAAAATAAGTCTAGAACTGTATGTCACCCTTTCCTCTCCCCTCACACTGCCTTTTTCTCTCCCTCCCTCCATCCTCCCCCATCCTCTCCCTCCATCCTCTCCCTCCATCTCCTTTACTGCCTACATCCTTCTCTTTCTTTACGTCCCTTGACTTCTTCTTACCTAGGTTATTAACATTTATGGCAAGGTTTAGGTCTTTTGAGTGGGTCTAATTAACTCTTTGTACACAAAGGGAGAGAGAAAAGAAAGAGGAGACACGGGGGGTGGGGAGGGAATAACCCTCTCTCTCTCTCTCTCTCTCTCTCTCTCTCTCTCTCTCTCTCTCTCTCTCTCTCCTCTCTCTCTCTCCTCTCTCTCTCTCTCTCTCTCTCTCTCTCTCTCTTCTCAACCTGGGATGAGAGAGCTTTCCTGCTACCTGACCAACCATTCACACAGCTGAGACAGGGGGCTTCCCATCACTTTCGACCTACGCGACTTGGGCCCATCCATACATAGGACCGAAAAAAATACACTATAAATTAGAATTTGTGAAGCCTATGAATGATACCTACAGGTAAGGAACATCAATTAGTAAGTAATGAAACTTAAGGTGATACAGCAGGTTGATAAAACAAGATAATCATGGCATATTTATTAGGTTAAAAGAATGATGTACAGATATACTACTACTACATGCCATGATAACATAATTCCTACATCCCTCCATTTCGAGATCCGACCGGTCAGTCGGAACGGAACTCTGACATAAGTCAGAGAGGATCTGTATATGCTACACTGTGTGTGTGTGTGTGTGTGTGTGTGTGTGTGTGTGTGTGTGTGTGTGTGTGTGTGTGTGTGTACGTGTGTACGTACCCGAGCGTCATTCAGTCGTATATGGAATTTGATTTTCATGTTGCATATTTTATGGTCGACAATGGACTGTTTCTTTGACACCGGCGAAGGGGGCTCTTAATCTGAGGAATTCGAGTTGCGCCCTTCCTGCCGAGTCATTCAAGGGGGCTTCTTGCTGGGGTATGGGCTTTGGATCCAGAGATGGGAAAATGGACCTCTTTTGTCAGTCCTGGGATAGAATCTAAATACCCGATATCCTTCCTCTAGTTTCGGCTTCATTGGCGAGATATTTGCTATTTTGTATAATTCCACTCATTTCTTAAGTGGTCGTTGTGTGTTGTCTCATTCCACCCAGTGGAAATTAAACTATCTTGAGGCACGTTGATTGGTCTGGCATGACACACACACATGACTCAGACATCCTCCAGTACTACTACTGGAGGATGTCTGTGGATCCAGGAATGGCAAATGAGTGTGTATGACTCTGGATATAAGGTTCTTACCATTCATTCTCAAGGATGTTTTCCTACCACTTACTACCTTGAACATCAATAGACATACTTCCTAACTTTCCTTGTGACATTCCATACCGATCCCCGCACTCGTGTGCACTGCTCTCAGAGCTAGGAACCAGTTTCAGGTGATTACTCAATTCTCGATTTCGGTTCCACTGTTAGACCTTTTTTCTTCTGACAGTTCTGACCATTGGCTTTTTACGATTTTCGAGTCTTTTTGCTAGTCAAACAAGGGTGCCCCCACGACATTTTCTCAACTACCTCAATATAAACTGTTGTGACTCTTAACTCCTAGCTCACGCTTTAAGAAATCTGCCACTGAAAACCACTTTCACTAAACGAGATTTTTCACACAGCATTTCCATCAGGAGCAAATAACTCGTTTTTCACCGAGTCTCTGGATAATCTTATGCTCAGGGCAATGAACTCCCAGACTGCTGCTGCTCTCCACTCTTCACCACTTGCCAATCTTCCACGGAGACGGGGCTCCTTTTCCAATACTCTCTCAATGACTTCGAGTCCGTTAGCAATGGTGTTGGTGGACCTCGAGATGTTTTCCATCCAACCTCAATTGTTTCTATCCATCGTCCTGCCATCGCTGTCTGGTATGGGAGGCTGCACCCTCAGGGTTACACAGACGACACATGACTCGCACACAGGCACCTCGTGGAAGACGTCCTGCGTCTCTGCAAGGACGACCAGTATATATTAATAGTCTTAACTATCAGAGAGTTCAGTAGACTAAATTTTCAACATCTTAACCTGCCTTCTTCTACCATGCAGTCTTCATTTCTCTTAATACTCTGTCTACGACTCTCACTAAAATCTAACTTAATGCACCCACTAAAACCTAACATTCACGTTCATTAAACCTCAGCTACTTGAACCCCTTCTACATAAACACCATTATAACGTATCGCTGTGTGACCCATGTGTGTTTAACTCTTGTTATTAAATATAATACCCTTTCTTCCTCAAATCAAGTCTAATAACCTCCCATTCCCTAGGCATTGTGTGATTACCATGGGTTTAGCGCTTCCCCTTGATTATACTCAACATTTGGCGCCTTGATGGCGATGGGTTCTTGCTCCAAGAAACTGTAATTACCATTATCTTCCTCAGTGTAAAATTATATAGTAGAATTTAAAGAAGCCCGGTGACAGGTGTTTTGGCAGGTTTCGGTATATAATGCCAGCGTTAAGCAGGTGTAGGTATATAATGAAGGTGTAGGCAGGTGTCAGTAAAAATGAAGGTTTAGGAGTGTTGTTATAATCCCGCGTTAAGAGGTGCAGGGATATAATGCCAGCTGTTCGGTCTATAATGACAGGTTTAGGTGCAGGTATTAATGACAATTTGCTCCTAGGGTTAGGAGGAAAATGAGAGTTCAAAGGCCTAAGCCCCAGTTTAATTTTGCCTACCAGGTGGAGGGGGGTAGACGGGACCTGGTGGCTGTGTTAACCTCAAAGCCCCTTTGCAAAACCCGGGTTTAAAAAAAATTGGTGACAGGGGTTAGGCAGGGTCCGGTAACTGTGACAGGGGTTATGCAGAGTCTGGTGACAGGGTGAACGTTTAAAAATTTAGGCGTTTTTGATGATAAAAATGATATAGAAGGGTAAAAAGACCAAAGTTTGCTGAGAAAAGTTCCGAAAATAGTTAAGTTTATTCTCGTTTAAACTTAATATGAAAATTAATATTAATATGTTTCAAAAATTTTTACCCTCTAAAATTTTTTTAAGAAAATCATTTTATAAAAAAAAAATTTAAAATGGGCAATTTCAGCTAGACAACCCCAAAATGGGACCGACACCCGAAACTGGCAGCCCGACGCCCGAAATGGCAGCCAGACAGCCCGAAATTGGAAGATACATTCTCTAGTTATTACATGGGAAATTTTAATAAAAATTTAAAAAACCCACCAACAGTGAAAATTTTAAACCTATCGAACAAGGCATTACCGGTAATTGACAATTCAAATTAAAAAATACACCACACTGATGGTTTGAAACCGAGCGAGGGCATCTTTGTTTATAGAAGAAAAACAAAAACACATTAAAAAAAAATAAACAAATTAGGGCGGTAGCCCAATAATAAGGTGAAAATTTACGTTTATAAACGTTGACCAATACTAAAAGTTTGAAGCCGATAAGAAGAGGCATTAATAAGTTGGAATATGGATTCCATCGATTGCAGGCTTTGTTAAATATTTTAGTGTATTGACAAATTTGCCCCCACAAGCGCTAAACTTAATGGGTATTATCCTGGCCGCGAGATGCATCAGCCAGTAAATATTGAAGGCATTTATCAGGAACAAAAATGTCGCAGTTTTACAAATAAAACTGACAGATGTGTGACTAGTTAATAGTTGGTGTGAGCGAAACATCGTCATAAACTTCTCTCTCGTGTAGGGGTTATTTGTGCGTTGTACCAGTCACGGTACTGTGTATTGTACCAGTCACGGTACTGTGTATTGTACCAGTCACGGTACTGTGTATTGTACCAGTCACGGTACTGTGTATTGTACCAGTCACGGTACTGTGTATTGTACCAGTCACGGTACTGTGTATTGTACCAGTCACGGTGTTTTGTATTGTACCAGTCACGGTGCTTTGTATTGTACCAGTCACGGTGCTTTGTATTGTACCAGTCACGGTACTGTATTGTACCAGTCACGGTACTGTGTATTGTACCAGTCACAGTATTGTACCCTTTTATTCTTTTTGTTGCAGCACTGACCCTTGTGGGTTTAGCACGTAGTTCTGATTGTAATAATTCTGGTAGATGTGGACTTCCAAAATGGAATGTCACTCTGCCATTGTCCAATTAAAAGGCGCCTTTTTTTAAGGTTTGAATCAACACCACCACAGACGCTTTTGTAAATTATCCCAGTCATTCCAGGATGCTGGAGTCACAGGGCGTCTGCACATGCCAGTTATTCCCGATCGGCTTCAAGTTTACCATCGGGTAAACTTGAAGCCGATCGGATAAGGCATTATCATGTTATGAGCGAGAAACGAAAAGTTAAAAGGGAGGGGGGGGAGGAATTCAGGCAACCACTTAAATGTTCCCATTCGGGTATACCAAATCATCATCAGTCATCATCAATAATCAATCATCATCATCAAAGGTAGTCGCCATAAGATACCGTTTCAAGAATTACTAATAAAATTAATATTAACTAAAGACAAACCGCACACAGGAGAAGGAAACTTACGACGTTACGGTCCGACTTCTTGAACCGAAACGTCGTCATAAGTTTTTCTCCTTTGTGCTGGTTATTCGTGTATTAGTCACGGTATTGTGCCTTTTATTTTTTAATATTAACTAAAAGTTGTACCTTGCAGATATGTGTGTTGGAACGCGTACTTGCTGCGGCGTGCGTCGCGGGGGTACGTTGAGTCCGTGTGCCTCACCAACGGACCGTTCAGCAACTACTACGCACAGGAGAGTACTGACGACGGTCTGATGATGGAGTCTGACGTACCCGTCAAGGAGGTAACCTAGTGAGCTTCTGATGTTAACCTAACCTGCCTTCACCAGCAGTGTTGCTGCTCTACTGGGTATGATAGTGGCAACACCAGCAGTGTGTTGCTGCTCTACTGGGTATGATAGTGGCAACACCAGCAGTGTGTTGCTGCTCTACTGTGTATAATAGTGGCAACACCAGCAGTGTGTTGCTGCTCTACTGTGTATGATAGTGGCAACACCAGCAGTGTGTTGCTGCTCTACTGTGTATGATAGTGGCAACACCAGCAGTGTGTTGCTGCTCTACTGGGTATGATAGTGGCAACACCAGCAGTGTTGCTGCTCTACTGTGTATGATAGTGGCAACACCAGCAGTGTGTTGCTGCTCTACTGTGTATGATAGTGGCAACACCAGCAGTGTGTTGCTGCTCTACTGTGTATGATAGTGGCAACACCAGCAGTGTGTTGCTGCTCTACTGTGTATGATTAGTGGCAACACCAGCAGTGTGTTGCTGCTCTACTGTGTATGATAGTGGCAACACCAGCAGTGTGTTGCTGCTCTACTGTGTATGATAGTGGCAACACCAGCAGTGTGTTGCTGCTCTACTGTGTATGATAGTGGCAACACCAGCAGTGTGTTGCTGCTCTACTGTGTATGATAGTGGCAACACCAGCAGTGTGTTGCTGCATTATTCTGTGATACTTGCATGGGAGGAACCAAGGGTAGCTGTGTTATATTCCATCACACAGGATGAGTTTCTTACATCATGTAATGAAATGTGTCCGTCAACCTACGCTGGGTGACTTGAGTCGGGCGGTGAGGATACGCTCAAGGATTCCACCTCGGGTTCAGCAGCTGAAGTTACTGGTACTTCAGAGTTACCATCTCTCGGGGAGTCTCTCTCTCTCTCTCGCTCTCGCTCTTTCTCTGCCTCTCTCTGCCCCTCTCTCTGCCTCTCTCTGCCTCTCTCTGCCTCTCTCTCTCTCTGCCTCTCTCTTCTCTTGCCTCTCTCTCTCTCTCTCCTGCCTCTCTGCTCTCTCTGCTCTCTCTCTGCCTCTCTCTTGCCTTTCCTCTTTGCCTCTCTTCTCTGCCTCTCTCTCTGCCTCTCTCTCTGCCTCTCCTCTGCGCGCTCTCTCTGCACCTCCTCTGCCTCTCTCTGCTCTCTCTACCTCTCTCTGCCTCTCTCTACTCTCTCTGCCTCTCTCTACCTCTTTCTGCCTCTCTCATGCACACAAAACCCCACACACATACCCCAACACATACCCCACACACATACCCCACACACATACCCCACACACATACCCCACACACATACCCCCACCACATAAACCCCCCACACTACCCCACACACATATCCCACACACATACCCCACACACATACCCCACACACATACCCACACACATACCCCACACACATACCCCACACACATACCCCACACACATACCCCACACACATACCCCACACACATACCCCACACACATACCCCAACACATCACCCCACACACAACCCCCACACACCACCCCCCACACCACACACCCCACACACACCCCACCACCCACACCCCACACACACACACCCCCACACACACCACCCCCCACCACACACCACCCCCACACCCCCCACACACACACACCCCACACACCCCCACACACACACACCCCACCACACACCACCACCACACACCCCACACTACCCCACACACTCTCACCCCACACACACACCCCACACCACCCATCACACACACCCCACACACACACACCCCACACACCCCCCACACCATACCACACCCCACTCACCACACCACCCCACCACATACACCCACACCACACACACCCCACACACACACCCCACACACACCCCACACCAACCCACACACACCCACACACACACCCCACACACCACACCCCACACACAACACCCACAACCCACAACCACACACCCACCCACACACACACACCACACACACACACACACCCCCACACACACACACCCCACACACACTCACACCCCACACACACACACCCCACACACCCACCCCACACCACACACCCCACACACACACACACCACCCACACAACCCCACACCACCCCCACACCACCACCCCACACACACCCACACACACACCCCACACACACCACCACACACCACCCCCCACACACACACCCCACACACACCACCCACACACACACACCCCACCACACACCACACCCCACACACACAACCCCACACACCACACCCCACACACACACCCACACACACCACACCCCCCCACACCCACACCACCACACCACACACCCCCACACACACACACCCCACACACACCACCCCCCACACACACACACCCACCACCACACACACACACACCCCACACACACCCACCCACACACACACCCCACACACCCACACACACACACCCCCCACACACACACACCCCACACACACCCACACACCCACACCACACACACACACACCCCACACACACACCCCACACACACACACACACCCCACACACACACACACCCCACACACACACCACCACACACACCCCACACACCCCACACACACACACACCACACCCCCACACACCACCCAACACACCCCACACACACCCACACACACACACACCCACACACACACACACCCACACACACACACACCACACACCACACACACACCCACACACACACACACACCCACACACACCCCACACACACACACCCAACACACACACCCAACACACCATACACCCCCACACACAAACGTAACATAGCATATAAGCTTTTACATAAAACCCCTACTTTGTAAATCTGACCAGCAGCCAAAATCGAGGAGCCAAAACGAGTTACACTATATAGAAATGATAAATGGCCTAAAGAACAAATTGGATGAGGAATGGGAAAAAAAAATATTCCCTTAGGAAACTGAGGTAATGGGCTATAAGCTAAGGGATGAGGTTGTGTAGCAGGTATGAAGGATAATTTTGGCTGAATGACTTCAAAACTGGGAAAGAGAAAAAACTTAAAAAAACCATGTGGAAAAAAATAAGTGGCGAGATGGGGCAGCAGCAATGAGAGGAGGAGCAGAGAGAAATTTTCAATAGATAAAGATGGAAAATTATTAGCAGAGATGCTCTCAGACGATGGGGAAGCAAAGAAAGTAATAAAGTAAACAGTAAAGGAAATGAAGATAGGCAAGGCAGTCTTGAAGGAAAGGCAGTGAGAGAAAGAGGTTGCTGATGATCTATGGACTCCAGGAGCCTGAGGGAAGGAGGGGAGATGGGTTTGCGAAACAGGAGATGGGAGGATGAAATGTACGCCGGGCTGTGGCTCGTACGTTGGACTGCGTGCGGCCAGCAGTAACAGCCTAGTTGAAGATTGAAACACTTATGCAGCATATGGGAATCTTTATTCAGGAAACGTTTCGCCACACAGTGGCTTCATCAGTCCAATACAAAGAGGAAGGCGTAAGGAGAGGAGGAGAATGAGGTAATCAGTCCCTCAACCTGGAGTCGATGTGTTCAGTCCATCAATTGATGGACTGAACACATCGACTCCAGGTTGAGGGACTGATTACCTCATTCTCCTCCTCTCCTTACGCCTTCCTCTTTGTATTGGACTGATGAAGCTACTGTGTGGCGAAACGTTTCCTGAATAAAGATTCCCATATGCTGCATAAGTGTTTCAATCTTCAACTTGTCGGTTTTTTCAAACCATTCATCACAACAGCCTAGTTGATCAGGCCCTGATCCATCGGGAGGCCTGGTCATGGACCGGGCCGCGGGGGCGTTGATCCCCGGAATAACCTCCAGGTAACCTCCAGGTATCTATCACTGCGCAGGAGAACAGACTGAACGGGTGAAAAAATCAGAGGATAGCGCTACAACGTCCAGTCACGTTAACTTTATGGACAAATATATATAGCCAGGCACAGGATCCTGGAACAGACGCTGAAAGACATGCGATATTACCTCAAGTTGGTGGATGGTTACGGTACAGTTGAGGGAGAATGTAGGTAAGTACAGTACACAGTACAGTTACAGTACATAGGTAAGTCAGTACACAGTATGATTAAAGTGCATATTTAAGTACAGTACACAGGTAAGCACAGTACACATGTGACAGTAAAGATTCGTTCGGAAAACTTGTCCATAGAACAGTGTTAGTAATAAAAAAAAAGGCACAATACCGTGGCTGGAACGATACGCAAATAACCCGCACATAGAAGAGAGGAGTTTACGACGACCTTTCGGTCCGATTTGGACCATTTACAAAGTGACTTTGTAAATGGTCCAAGTCGGACCGAAACGTCGTTCGTAAGCACCTCCCTTCTCTGTGCGGGTTATTTATGTAACAGTGTTATTACCTGGATCCCACACAGCAGCTCACATCAGAGATCATTCAAGGAACAATGTATGAATCCAGCATAACTTCCAAAATTAATTTGATAGCACTAGGTAATGGGGCCAATGTTATCAACGGGATTGAAGGAACGGGCCACAGCAGTCTCCATGTTTTCGGGAAGAATATAATTATAGTATATTAGCAGTTTTGTTGGGTCTGGTGTACCTCGTGTGTTGAGGGACTAACCACCTCAATATTTTTTCTCCAAGGCTGATGCACTGATTACATCTTCATTTCACCATTACACCTCCTGCCTCTCTGTTTGACTGAAGAAGCCTACCGTGTAGATGAAATGTTTCATCAATAAAGATACCCAACTGTTGCATATGTCTTGATCATCAACTTGTCGGTATTTTTCACCATTTTCAACACGTCAACTTTCCGTACCTGGACTATTTTAAGTGTTGAACTGGCAACAGTAAATTATATCTCAACATTATACAGGAAAACAACAGTCGTAAGAAAACTTTGACTTGTTACGATGAACTTTATGAAGAACGGAACACTAGCCCAGTTTGAGTTATTAAAGGGTTTGTGCTAGGATCATCTCTGACATGGTCGGCTCGGGCAGCATCTCTGACGTGGCCCGCTCGGGCAGCATCTCTGACGTGGCCCGCTCGGGCAGCATCTCTGACGTGGCCCGCTCGGGCAGCATCTCTGACGTGGCCCGCTCGGGCAGCATCTCTGACGTGGCCGCTCGGGCAGCATCTCTGACGTGGCCCGCTCGGGCAGCATCTCTGACGTGGCCCGCTCGGGCAGCATCCCTGACGTGGCCCACTCGGGCAGCATCTCTGACGTTGCCCACTCGGGCAGCATCTCTGACGTGGCCCGCTCGGGCAGCATCTCTGACGTGGCCCACTCGGGCAGCATCTCTGACGTTGCCCACTCGGGCAGCATCTCTGACGAAGCATTGTATTGGTGATAGCGTCTGATTCAACCTTACAGCTGTGAGGAGGAAAAGGCGTTCATCTAGATTTGGTTACAAAACTAGATTGATTACAACGAATTATAAGCATGCCGATGTTCAGTAATTATCAAACAACGGAAATATATCAGAAAAATCAATAAATTTGGATCTGACGCAGTCTATCAACGCAACCCTTTGCTTTCTGAAAGACGCAAAACTATTGCTGGAAGTTTGAAGTCGATCAAACGAGGCATTATCCGGTTAACACACGGGTTCCAAAAAGTATTGACAATTTTGCCCGCGCACGAACAGAAATTTAATGGGGTAATATCTTGTCTTTAAAATGCATCAATAATTAAACATTCAAGTCATTCAGAAGTAAATTGATATATATTTAACGTGAATTATGTGGAATAAAAAAAATTGACTGTGCATTTTTTGAATGGTTAAAAAAAATAAAATTCTTTATTTCTCTGTTAATATTACAATGTGGGGTTTACATACAAGATATTATTACATATTACAAAATACTTATTACAAAGTAGGCCACTAGTATGCCTATGTAGGCCTAGGCATTTCGGGCAGACTAATATTAGTTCTTACTCTATATTGACACAGGATATGGATCATACTAGTATTAAGGTAAGGTAATTGTAGTCATTAACTAGATTTATAAAATTGAGGTAGTTCGAAATATTTAAGAACTTGACAATTAGTTTATCTATTAATGGAAATGATCTCGATTTGGTATGATAGTTTGTGTACTGGAGTGACTTAGGCAAACTTATGGCTTAATTAAGAATTATGAAGCAATAACTCTAATCAGAATTTTGTTTACAGTCATGTGTATATTACGGGGAGTCACAGATATCAGTAAGTGTATTTTGCTTGGTTATGTTCATGATAAAGTGGTTCTTATGTGATAGTTACCGGTGGTGTGTGTTAGCTACCGGTGGTGTGTGTTAGTTACCGGTGGTGTGTGTTAGTTACCGGTGGTGTGTGTTAGCTACCGGTGGTGTGTGTTAGTTACCGGTGGTGTGTGTTAGCTACCGGTGGTGTGTGTTAGCTACCGGTGGTGTGTGTTAGTTACCGGTGGTGTGTGTTAGCTACCGGTGGTGTGTGTTAGTTACCGGTGGTGTGTGTTAGTTACCGGTGGTGTGTGTTAGCTACCGGTGGTGTGTGTTAGCTACCGGTGGTGTGTTAGCTACCGGTGGTGTGTTAGTTACCGGTGGTGTGTGTTAGCTACCGGTGGTGTGTGTTAGCTACCGGTGGTGTGTTAGTTACCGGTGGTGTGTTAGTTACCGGTGGTGTGTTAGTTACCGGTGGTGTGTTAGTTACCGGTGGTGTGTTAGCTACCGGTGGTGTGTTAGTTACCGGTGGTGTGTTAGCTAAGGGTGGTGTGTGTTAGCTACCGGTGGTGTGTGTTAGCTACCGGTGGTGTGTTAGCTACCGGTGGTGTGTGTTAGTTACCGGTGGTGTGTGTTAGTTACCGGTGGTGTGTGTTAGTTACCGGTGGTGTGTGTTAGTTACCGGTGGTGTGTGTTAGTTACCGGTGGTGTGTGTTAGCTACCGGTGGTGTGTGTTAGTTACCGGTGGTGTGTGTTAGCTACCGGTGGTGTTAGCTACCGGTGGTGTGTGTTAGTTACCGGTGGTGTGTGTTAGTTACCGGTGGTGTGTGTTAGTTACCGGTGGTGTGTTAGTTACCGGTGGTGTGTGTTAGTTACCGGTGTGTGTGTTAGTTACCGGTGGTGTGTGTTAGTTACCGGTGGTGTGTGTTAGTTACCGGTGGTGTGTGTTAGCTACCGGTGGTGTGTGTTAGCTACCGGTGGTGTGTGTTAGTTACCGGTGGTGTGTGTTAGTTACCGGTGGTGTGTGTTAGCTACCGGTGGTGTTAGTTACCGGTGGTGTGTGTTAGTTACCGTTGGTGTGTGTTAGTTACCGGTGGTGTGTGTTAGCTACCGGTGGTGTGTGTTAGTTACCGGTGGTGTTAGTTACCGGTGGTGTGTGTTAGCTACCGGTGGTGTGTGTTAGCTACCGGTGGTGTGTGTTAGCTACCGGTGGTGTGTGTTAGCTACGGTGGGTGTGTTAGTAACGGTGGTGTGTGTTAGTTACCGGTGGTGTGTGTTAGCTACCGGTGGTGTGTGTTAGCTACCGGTGGTGTGTGTTAGTTACCGGTGGTGTGTGTTAGTTACCGGTGGTGTGTGTTAGTACCGGTGGTGTGTGTTAGTTACCGGTGGTGTGTTAGTTACCGGTGGTGTGTGTTAGCTACCGGTGGTGTGTTAGTTACCGGTGGTGTGTGTTAGTTACCGGTGGTGTGTGTTAGTTACCGGTGGTGTGTTAGTTACCGGTGGTGTGTGTTAGTTACCGGTGGTGTGTGTTAGTTACCGGTGGTGTGTGTTAGCTACCGGTGGTGTGTGTGTTAGCTACCGGTGGTGTGTGTTAGCTACCGGTGGTGTGTGTTAGTTACCGGTGGGTGTTAGTTACCGGTGGTGTGTGTTAGCTACCGGTGGTGTGTGTTAGCTACCGGTGGTGTGTGTTACCGGTGGTGTGTGTTAGCTACCGGTGGTGTGTGTTAGCTACCGGTGGTGTGTGTTAGGTACCGGTGGTGTGTGTTAGCTACCGGTGGTGTGTGTTAGTTACCGGTGGTGGTGTGTTAGTTACCGGTGGTGTGTTGTTTAGTTACCGGTGGTGTGTGTTAGCTACCGGTGGTGTGTGTTAGTTACCGGTGGTGTGTGTTAGCTACCGGTGGTGTGTGTTAGCTACCGGTGGGGTGTGTTAGCTACCGGTGGGGTGTGTTAGCTACCGGTGGTGTGTGTTAGCTACCGGTGGTGTGTGTTAGCTACCGGTGGTGTGTGTTAGCTACCGGTGGGGTGTGTTAGCTACCGGTGGTGTGTGTTAGCTACCGGTGGTGTGTGTTAGCTACCGGTGGTGTGTGTTAGCTACCGGTGGGGTGTGTTACCGGTGGTGGTAGCTACCGGTGGTGTGTGTTAGCTACCGGTGGTGTGTGTTAGCTACCGGTGGTGTGTGTTAGCTACCGGTGGTGTGTGTTAGCTACCGGTGGGGTGTGTTAGCTACCGGTGGGGTGTGTTAGCTACCGGTGGGTTGTGTTAGCTACCGGTGGTGTGTGTTAGCTACCGGTGGTGTGTGTTAGCTACCGGTGGTGTGTGTTAGCTACCGGTGGGGTGTTTTAGCTACCGGTGGTGTGTTAGCTACCGGTGGTGTGTGTTAGCTACCGGTGGTGTGTGTTAGCTACCGGTGGGGTGTGTTAGCTACCGGTGGTGTGTGTTAGCTACCGGTGGTGGTTGTGTCTGCAGTTCTAGAGTTTTCAGGCAGGGAGTTCCGGATTCTAGGCCCTTTTATGTACATTTAATTTTTGTATAAATTTAGCCGGACACGGGGAATGTCAGAGATTTTTGTTTCTGTTATTATGCCTATGGATCCTGTCACAACTATCAAAAAGTAGTTTAGTTCAGGGTTAATATTGGAATTCATGGTACTGTAGATGTAGATTGCACAGTAGTAAGTGTGGATGTTCTGAACAGTGAGTAAGTTTAGGTCTTTGAAGAGTGGGGGGGGGGGCCTAGTATTAGATTGCGTAATTCTTACTGCGGCTTTTTGTTGGGTTATTATTGGCTTTAGATGGGCAATTTTTGCTGATCCTCAGGCACAAATGGCATATGTGAGGTAGGGATAGATGAGCAAATAGTATAGTGTGAGTAGGGCTGATTGTGGTACGTAGTAACATATCTTACAGAGGATCCTAGCAGTTTTGGATACTTTATTTGTTGTGTTGGATATGGGTACTGAATTTCAGGTTGCTGTCGAGGTGTAGGCCCAGGAATTTGCCCTCGTTATGTTTAGCAATAAGAGTGTTGTCGATTTTAATGTTTGTGCATCACCTGCTCTGTTATCAAGCATAATATAGAAGGTTTTATCAGTGTTGAGTTTAAGTTTATTGGTTGTCATCCATGTAGATATTTTTAGTAGTTCCTCGTTAGCAATGGTGTTGATCGTGGCAAGATTTGGGTGGGAAATGACATATGTCGTGTCGTCAGCAAAGGGAATTGGTTTCAGGTGTAGTGATACATTGGGAAGATCATTGGTGTATAAGAGGAAGCGCATGGAACCAAGGACACTTCCCTGTGGCACTCCAGTATCAAGTGGTGGTGAGGAGGAGGTTGTGGTTTTAATGGTGACATACTGATACCTATTAGTAAGGTAGGATTTGAAATATGCAAGTGCATGGCCTCTTATACCATAATGGTCAAGTTTGTGGAGTAAGATGCAATGGTTTACTGTGTCGAATGCTTTCCTTAGGTCAATAAAAAGTCCTAATGGATATTCCTTATTTTCCAGTGCTGTGTAAAGCAGTTCTATAATTTTTACAATTGCATCTTTAGTGCTTTTATTTTTTTTGAAGCCAAATTGGCAGGGATTGAGTATGCAGTGTTGTTATAAACGAGTATAATCTCTTGTGCACGAGTTTCTCGAAGATTTTGGATGGCAACGGTAAGTTTGATATTGGCCTGTAGTGTGGGGGTCACCACCTTTGTGTATTGGTGTAACCCTTGCTGTTTTGAGTAGTGTCGGGAAAGTGCTAGTTACTAGTGAT